ATCTACTCATTTTTTGAACCTTTTCAGGGATGGTGATTTCACCACTGCCCTGGGCAGCCTGTTCCAATGCTTATCCATTCTTGCAGTGAAGAAATTTTCCCTAATATCCAGCCTAAACCTAGTACCAAAGCTGAATTGTAAGCCAGTGCCAATTTTCAGAGTGACCGCCGGGATCTATATCTTAGAATATAGATATTCTGTGCTGCAGCTTAAAAAAATCCTTCCCCTCAATTATAAACTCTTTCCCCTCTCCCTGAAGAATCATTATATAGCTTTTTCATCATGAGGAGTAGCATCAGCTCAGGGAATTGAGCTGTGTTTGGCTGGGGTGCTTCCAACTTGTTCTGTTGGAGATGTTGAAGCACTCTTGTGAACCTCACAGTAGGCTGCTTTGGTTGTTCCTGAAAAAAACTCTGGAGTGTCTGTGGGACTGTGACTCATCTCAGTGTAAAATGGGATTGTCTCTAAAAGATGTTGCACCAGTCCAGAAAATGTTCCAGTGGTGCTGGTTCTCTCTAGACTCTGTTCTTGTGGACATCACAAAGCAAAATACCTGGAGAGGAGCTCAGGTGCCCAAACACTGGGAGCTCAGGACCCCCCAGCCATGGCCTAGAGCTCGGGGAGGCACTTTGGCATCAGGGTGGGCACTGCCCAGTCCAGTTCCGAGGCATTTCTTTATGAGAGGAGTTCAGGATGTTCCTGCCAAGCACGAGCCCCTCCCTGGGAGCTGTTCTTGCCTTGGGAAGCCGGGTGGAACAGAGGGGTGTGATGTTCTGGAGGAGACTGGAAGTGTCACTGAGCTCTGTGTGTGTTCTGCTCCCCAGATCCCCGTGCCTGCCTTCAGCCTGGTGACCAAGGAGGGGCAGCCCGTGCACTACAACATGGAGGTGCCTGACTCTGGCATCGAGCTGCAGTGCACCCTGGCCCCCGACTGCAGCGTCAGCTGGGCCTGGCGCGTCAAGCACGGCCAGCTGGAGAACAGGCCCTGAGGCCCCGCCTGCTTTGGAGGTTTGCACCTTGTGAAAGGAGGAATTGCAAAAGCTTCTGACCTCCCCTGCCATGGAGCACCAAGTGCAGTGGCTGGTGTTTGTGCTGCAGCAGGATCACAGCTCGCTGCCCTCGGGCCTCGCTTCTGTTGGCTGCTCTGATTCACTTCCAAGACATGTCCTGAGCTTAGATATTCCCCAGGACAGTGGGAACTGCTTGTTTTGGGTGTGTTAGAGCTTGAGAATGGTAGGTGGAAATTCCTGGTTTTTCAGAGGAAGGAGGTCATGCTTTTCAGGAGAGCAGAACCATTGGGTGAGAACTCTTGCTCTTGCTCCAAGGTGAGGTTGGTCGTTGCTGGGCTTGCCCAGAGGAGGAGGTTGGGTGCCCTCAGTGTAGCTGGGGTTAGTTGTGCCAAGGGGAACTGGCTGACTTCTTTCCAGCTGGAGGAAAAAACATTTCTGTAGGCTCTGGGGAGCATCATCTCCACCTCAAGCCTTTTGCATGGGGAGAATCCACAGCAGTCACTGGCTGGCTCTTGGTTTCACCTCCCACCCTTCCTCGCAGTTGCTTCATTCTTAAATGAGAAAAGAACTTTGTTCCCAGAAAGATCTTTGCTTGCAGCTCCCACCTGCACATCTCAGAGGAGCTGGTGCTCTCTCTGGTGTCCCTGGCAGGCAGGGCAGGAGAAGGGTACAGAATTCCATGGTGGGAGGGTGGAGGGGTTGTTCCTCTGTCCTGTTCCCACCTCTGATGTGGGAGTTAAGGTGCACTGTCCCATCCTTGGAGGAATAAGGGACATCAGCTCTGTCAGCTGTGGCAGGGCTGAATTTTATTGCAGAGTTTATAAAAATCTCTGTCCCAGCTCCCAGTCCAACCCAGTGCCCCAGTTCTGTGAGCTCAGCCTGGCCTCACAAGGCTTCCCACTCCTCCCCTCACTTCAGACTGGGTTCACTGAGTGGGATGAGCAGCTAGGCCTGGAATGCCTTAAGCTTCAAACAGTTTTTTTTTACTGATTTGTGAATGTTTGGAACATACTGAAACCTCACAGGTCAAGTTCAGGTGGGTGGGTGTTGTTCTTCCTTCTCCATCCCAGAGCAGATCCCGAGGGAGGTGTGAGCTCCGAGTGTGCTTGCTCAGGGCTGCTGCCAGGCCTGGCACACCTGGGAATCACAGTCCCTCCCTGTGGCTGTGGCTCTCCCAGAGCTCTGAGGCTGCAGCTGAGCAGGAGCTCTGCATCCAGCCTGGGCAGAGCAGCAGCTCCCAAAAGCCAAGGTGGGCTCTGCCAGATCTGTGCTGGTCTGGGAGACACAATGGGGCAGCAGTGCTGGCAGTCTTCCCAATGGAAGTTCACTTAGAAAATAGCTGGGAAAAGCTGAACTCTGAGCCTCCCTTTTTGAGGAGCAGCAGTCCTTAAATAATGGATGCTCTTTCCCTTTGGTCTCCCAGAACATGGGCTGGTTTTGCTCCACCAGACAGTGACATCCCTGATCAGAAAACTCAAGTTTGTAATAAGAATGATGTAATAGGAAAGTGGAACTCATGAAGAAAAATGAAACCTGTCACCACTTTGGGTATAGTTTTTATAGCACTTTTTGTTCTAAAGCACTTAATACATTGTCCAAAATAGGCACCTAATTATATCTACAATGCCACATTCAGAGTCTTTTTAGTAAATAATTAACACATTATGCACATGTCTTCCAGGAGGGAGTGGGGAAAGGGGGAGGTTGGCTCAATTTCTTTTTTCAGATGCCATAAACTACTAAGAGTTTAAGCTCTGGAGCAGGAGGGATCAAAGTGCCTCTTCCAGGGTTCCCAGGAGCTCCCAAGCACAGGTTCAGTGCCTACCTGGCTCCTTTCCTGATCTTCCTCCAAGGGGACAGGAGGAAAACTTGGTTGTTTTTGTGAGTGTGTGATGATGTGTCAATCCCAAAGCATTGTGGGTTCCATCCCAAAGGCTGCACCTTGTGCCTCTGTCACCTGGGCGATGCTCCAGTGTGCTGGTATCCAGTTCCATGCCTAGGCACTGGGATTGAGCCCTGGAGCAGGCAGGGAGCAGCAGGACTGTCTGCAGGACTCCTGGGCTCTGCATCTGCAGCATTAACCTGAACTCAGGCCACCTGCACCAGGACAGGGAGCCCTCCCAGGCCTGGGATGTCCTCCCAGGGCCCATGGAGATGTCTGTGCTCCCAGGGCCCATGGAGACATCTGTGTTCCCCAGAACCCTCATAGCAGCATTAGCCAGGATTCGCCCTCTTTGGTTTGTCCAAAGCCTTCAGTCCTGTTTTGCTGCCACCACAAGTGCCCAAGTGAGGCTGCAGGTTCCCAGCCCAGGCAGCTTGGCCGTGTCACTGCTCTCAGGGTGGGAAGTGGTGTCACAGTCCCTGCCTGGGGACAGACACCTCGGCAGCCCCACAAACCATGGGTGCCTTCCCAGTCCCTGAGCTGGGGTTCTCCCCTGGGACGATCTCCAGGCTGTGCTGCCAGCCAGCCTGAGCTCTCCCTGGCTCTCTCCTGCTGCCAGGACACTTTCCTCTTCCCTTGGCTTGTCACTTTGCTGTGACAGGCACAAACAACCCGGCTTCCAGATGAAGGCAATACTGACAGCAGAAAGTCGGGGAAGATTTGCATTATCCTTGTTCAAATTTGGCTGGAACTGTCAGGTTTCATAACGAGTGTTTAGGACAGAACCCCAGCTCAGGGTGGGGAGGACAAGTAGGAGTGATAAACACAGATGGCTCTTGTGGTGCAGCTCCTTCCGGAAGTCTGGAAAAATCGCTGCTGGTGAGGCGAGGTGGAGCTGAGGATCTCGTTGGGCAGTGGGGGAAGGTGCTGGAACGAGGAGTTTCGATGGAATGAATGACACTTTATAAAACTGTGATTTCTTGAAGTTAATGTTTTTGACCTGCATTTTCACAGGAAAAAAATAAAACTGAAAAAAAAGATTTGTTTGTTGTCGTTGCTGGTGGTTTGATGTGTTATCCCAGAGAACAAGATGGTGATGCGGAATGAGACATTTTCCAGGAAGAGGAGCCTGGTCTGATTACACTCTGCTGTATAACTTGGGTTTGGGAGATTCAGGAGAAGTCAGGGGCGAGGCTTGGGCACTGCCCAGGCTCCCCAGGGAATGGTCCCAGCCCCGAGGCTGCCAGAGCTCCAGGAGGGTTTGAACAGCGCTGCCAGGGATGCCCAGGGTGGGATTGCTGGGGTGTCTGGGCAGGGTCAGGGCTTGGACTGGATGATCCTTGGGGGTCCCTTCCAGCCCAGGATATTCTAGGATTGTGTGATTTCTGGGGCTGAAGAGGCAGCACTAACTTGGACGGATCCCAGGCTTTGCTGAACAGCCTGGCATCTCTCTCCTTCCAAGCAGACAGTCCCTTGTCCTCCCTCTGTCCCGTTGTAGGGGATTTGCTGCACTGGGAGCTGCTCAGTCTTGCCTTGGGAGGCGCAGGGGTGAGGCAGGCAGAGCTCTGGGGATCCCCCCACAGCTCCCAGTGCTGCAGCCCCTCTGCTGCTGCTGCTGCAGGAGCTGTTTGTCTGCACGGAGCTGAATCCTTCTGGTAAACGAGCCCAGCAGGCTGGGGGGGCTGTGGCCAGGCTGCTCAGTGAGGACAGTTATCCTGAAACACATTTTTTGTGCTGGCATGCACCCACATGTCTGTGCTGTGAACAGACCTCAGAGCTGTTGTCCTCAAAAAAAAAAAAAAAAAAAAAAGGTGGGTGGTTTGTTGCTAGAATTCCAGACTAGATTGTGTTAGAAGGGACCCTAAAGATCATCTCGTTACATCCTCTCACCTCCCACTATCCCAGGTGGCTCCAAGCCCCGTCCGACCTGGGGCTGGGGCAGCCACAGCCACTCCCTCCATCTTTCCATCCCTCCATTCATCTCCCTCCTTCCCTCTCTTCCTCCCTCCCATCCTTCCCTCACTCCATCTTTCCTTCCTTTTCTCCCTCCCTCTCTTCATGACAGCATCGCCTCCCCATGCAAATTCTTTTCCCAGACAAGTCCTTTATCCTCTGAGACGTTTTATTACCAGTTCTGCTTTAGATTAAACAGGCCTTCAGTATATAAAAATAATGTATACAAATGAGCAGTTAATGGTTTACATTTCTGGCTTAAAGGCATTTATAAGTTACACATTCATTTCCCATCCCTCCCCGGACGCGGAGCCGGCGCTGAAGCAGCTAAAATACAGCAGGAAGCAGCGGCTGCTCTGGCTAAAGCTGGGACGAGCGAGAAATGACGGGAGGAGGGAGGAGCGTCCTCGCATCGGAACGAGCGGGGGCAGCTTGCCGGAGTAAATGCAGCAGGAGAGGTTTAATTGCGGCACTGCGGGCTCGGGGTTACTCAGCAGCAGCAGCAGCGGGGCAGGGGAGGGAGCGACAGCCGGGTCCGGTCCGGTACCGAGAGGTTCGTGCGGCTCTGGGGCAGCAGGGACCCCGCAGCCTTTGGGATCGCGGGGCTGGGGGCTGCCGGCATCTCCTGCGTGTCCCACCCGAGAAAACGGGGAGCCCCGCAGGGCTGACAGTCCCGGTTCATCCCAGAGGCTGCAGCCCGACAGTGCAGGCGGATGCTGGGGATGCAGGCGGGCGGAGGTTCCACCACCTCGCAGAGAAACTTGTCCCTGCTGCTGATTGTCGCAGCTACGGAGCCTCCCCTGCGCGAGGAAGAGCCCAGCGCTGCTCGCCTTGGGGACACCCTGTGTGGGGGTGTTCCAATCCCTGCTGCCGCAGCACAGAGAAATTTGAAGGAAGACTTATAAAATCATGTAAAATAGCACCGCTGCCAGCCCCTGGCTCCGGGAGGTGCCCGGGGTGGGAGCTTTGCAGCAGCTCCTCGCTGGCTCCGCAGCGCAGGAGAACGCGGGGCTCGGGGCTCTGCGGGCCGGGGAGATGTGCGGGGGAGATGTGCGCGCAGCGTTGTGTCCCTGGCTGACAGCCCTGCCCTCCCGCAGCGGCAATCAAAGGCACCAGCAAGCGGAGGGTGGGACACGGGACACTGGGCTGGCCCCGCGGCCGGCGAGCCAGGGAGCAGCGCCAGGGTAGGGATGGGACAGCCCTTCTTTTCCTTCCAGGACAAGCTGGGGCCTTTTCTGTGCTTCCCCCTCCCTGTCCTTAGCCAGGAGGGCCCCCCAGCCCTGCCAGCCTGGAGGGAGGAGCTCAGGAACACGGCCAAGCAAGCGCCGGGGGTGCCGGTGCCCGGCCCAGGCAGGCAAGGCGGAGCTGGCACGTTAAGCGGCTGGAGCAGCTCGGAGCGGGCTCTGTCCCTCCGCCCCGCCGAGCCCCGGGCCGAGGGACTGCCATCCTGCGGTCCCATCTGCGTCGGGAGGATGGTCCTGCCCCGGTGCTGCAGCCGCAGGGACGGCGCCGGTCACAGCGCGATGTCCGGCGTCGCCTGCAGGCTCTGCCCCGCCGCCCGTTTCTTGGCGCTGCCGCGGGCCTTGTCCCCCCGGCGGTACGGGTTGTTCCGCAGATCTGCACCGGGGGAAGCGCGGGGCCGGATGAGCTTCACCGCCCACCCGGCACGGCCGGGGTCCCGCACCCACCGCGTTAACATGGAATGCTTTGTGGTGGAGGGACCGCAACGCCCACCCAGTGCCACCCCTGCCACGGCAGGGACACCTCCCACTGTCCCAGGCTGCTCCAAGCCCCAGTGTCCAGCCTGGCCTTGGGCACTGCCAGGGATCCAGGGGCAGCCCCAGCTGCTCTGGGCACCCTGTGCCAGGGTTCACCCCCCCAGGAATGAATTTTTTTCCGAGCTTTCAACGTAAAACTCTCTTTTGTTCATTTAAAACCCCTGCCTCCTGTCCTGTCTCTGCCCGGGACTCGCCCCTCTGGGTATGAGGACACCCAGGAGGAGCCAAGGGCCGAACGCAGCACGGGGAGGAGCAGCAGGAATCAACAATCAGCCCGTGGGACCCCGACCGTCGGACCCCGACCGTCGGCTCTGGGAGCCCAGCACCGAGGGGCAGCCCCAGCTGCTGTCCCGGGGCTGACCCGGGTGTCCCGGGCTGGGATTCAGGGTGCACAAACGCAGCCGCACACCTGCAGGAATGCCGGCGGGGCGGGGGGGAAGCCCGGCAGCGCCCGCCCCCCTGCGCCGCCCCACGTTACCTACAGAGGACTCTCCTCGTTGAAGCTCACGTCGCAGAAGAGCCGGGACGAGCGTTTGCCCGTCCGGGCCGTGAAAGGGACAGTTTTGAGAGCTGAGCAGAGCGATCCAGAGACAGCGAGGAGGAGCAGGAGGAGGAGAGAGGAGGAAGAAGCAGAAGAGGAGGAAGAGATATGAGACAGAGGAAGGAGCACTCGGCAGCTTTGCCATGTGGGGTGTGAAGGTGCTTGCAGGTAGGTTTGGTCCCCGTGACAGGGCTTGGTGACCCCCCCAGCTCCTGTGACAGCCCCTGCAGCCCCCAGCACTGGGTCTGTGATGTGGGGACACCTGGCTGCTCACCTGAAATTATATCCTCAATGGCCCCATCTTTTCCTTCGTAGATGAGTGGCTCCTTCACCATCTGCCTCTTCTTCAGCTCAGCTATCATGTCCATCTGCTGCCTCCTGGCCTTCTGGACAGGCAGCTGGGAGGGGACAGGGTGCTTGAGTGGTGCGATCACACCCCAGAGGAGGTGGGGAACCCTCCCCTTCACCTCCCCCCCAGCTCTCCCTCCCCAGGACCTGTTTAGTCCTTCCCCAGCACTCAGCCCAGCCAGGGCTGGTAGCTGGGACCCCACCAGGACACAGACATGGGGGCACCTTCACCTCGGGCTGCTGCTCACTGCCAGGGGAGCCAGATTCCGCCTCTTTGGCTGCGGCCTCTTGCTTCTTCCACAGCTCGATGTCCTGCTCTGCTTTCTTGGGAGAGGGGCAGGAAGGGTGTGCTGAGCCAGGGAACCCAGGACTGCAGCCCCCTTCCTTCTTCACCCCACAGCCCCCAGCTCACCCCAAGCCAGCTCCAAAATCTCTGACCATCCCAAGGGCATTCCTGAGCCCCAGCCTTGCCTGTGACTTCTGCTGATTGCTCCAAAGTGGAGTCAGGTGCCCCAGATCTCCTCCCAGCCCACAGAAACAGAGAACCCCATGCCCCCTCCTACCTTGTAGGCTTTGATGAAGCGCATGAACATGGGGAAGAAGGTGGTGGGGGGACTGGTCTTGGGGTTCTCCCCGAAATACTCCACAGCTGACTCATACGCTTCCTGTGGGCAGAGACACCTGATCTGGGGGCTGGGCAGTGGTGCCCATCGCCCACCACCTCCTTCCCGCCTCTCCCACCTCCCCATCCTGCCCCGTTCCCTCCTGCCTGTCCCGCTGCAGCCACATCCCAAGCAGGAGCCTCTCCCATGGAGCAGAGGTGGGAGAGAGGCTACCCCAGGGTGTCCCCATGCAGGGGACTGCCCCCATGACCCCACCCCACCCCAGCACCCACCTTGGCGGTTTTGCTGTCAGCCTGCAGCTTCTCCATCACCTCGGAGTTGACCTTGAGGAAGTCCTTGAGCACGGGGCTGTCGTCCTGTCTCATGAACTCCCTGCGGGTCAGCTCCATGCCCTGCTGCAGGCTTCGCACGTCTTGCAGGACACCATCCAGGGACACTGCAGGAGGTCAGCAGTGCGGGGTCAGGGCAGGCTCGGGGTGCCAGGGGCTGCCCCAACCCCAGCCCGGGGCCCGTGGGCACTACCTGTGCCTGCCTTGTCAAGGAAGTGCAGCTCGGTGTGGAAGCCGGTGAGCTCTGGGTACTTCTCCATGATCACCCGCACCAGGTAATGCAGCAGCGTCTGCTTGCGGTCTGTGGACTTCATCTCGAGGAGCTGGGGCAGGGCAGAGTCAGCCCCGACCCGCAGCCACCACCCCCTCACCCTGCTCAGGGCTGCCTCGGGTGGCCCTTTGTCCATGTGGCTGGGTCTGTATCCATCCCTCCACTCCACAGCTGGATCTGCATCCCTCCACTCCCATGGCTGATTCCCGTCTTTCTCCATCCCCGTGGCTGGCTCTGCATCGCTCTGTCCCTGCAGCTGGCTCTTCATCCCTACATTTCCATATGTGACCTTCCTCCCTCTATCCCCAGAGCTGGTCCCCATCTTCCTTCATCTCATCTTCCTCCATTAAGGTCCTTGAATCCTTTAACCTCTCCATACCAGGTCTCCATCCTTCCTACCCCATTCCTGTGTATCTCCATCTCTTTGCCTCCTCCATCCCAACAGTCTCTTCATCCCTCTGTCCCCAAAGCTAAACCTCACATCCCTCCATCCCTACTGCTGGTGCTTGCATCCCCCACAGCAGGTTCCTGTGTCCTTCCATCTCTGCAGCTGCTCCTTGTGTCCCTGTGTCCCCAGGGCGGGTCCCTGGCAGTGGCAGTGCCCCCATCACCCCCACACCAGGGAACCCACGCCGGCCCTACCGCATCAAGGCTCTGCAGCCGGAAGCCGTAGGCAGCTCCACGCTTGCTGCTGTTCATGTAGTTCCCGAAGGCCAGGACAATCTGCAGGGACACCACGGCTTGGGGACACGGGGCCAGCAGGGCACAGTGCCCACAGACACTGTGCACCCAGCGGGGCCACCTCCCCCCAGAGCCCTCACCTCGAGGATGTGGCGCAGTTTGCTGGAGGATTTGAGGGACATGGAGGCGGCGATGATGGCGTTGAGTTGCTGTGGGAGGGAGGAAGGGAGGGAAGGGTGTGAGTGCGGCCGCAGGAGCCGCCCCCGCGCAGCCCGCCCGGCCCCGGCGCACACCGGCATCAGCAGCTGGGCCGTGTCGCCGAAGCTGCCCAGGAAGATCATGACGTTCATGCGCTCGGCCAGGCGCGGGATCTTGCTGAAGCGGATCATGAACTGGTCCTCGTCCGAGAGCTCCTCCGGCGGCTGCTGGTCCCGCTCGAACTTCCCGATCAGGGTCCGCTCGTACTCGGTGGGCAGGAAGCGCAGCAGCAGCTCCAGGAAGTCGAGGCTCAGGGCTTGCTGGTCATACCTGCGGGGAGGGGACACCCCTGGCACTGTCAGGCCCTGCCGCAGGTCCCGAAGCCCCTTTGTCACCCTCGGCTGGTCCCATCATCCTTCTGTCCCCACAGCTGGTTCCTGCATCCCTCCATCTTTCTGTACCTGGACCCTGCATCTCTCTACCTCTCCATATGGATCCCTCCATCTCTCTGTCTTTGGTCCCCACATCCCTTCCTTTCCTGTCTGGTTCCTGCATCCCTCCATCCCCACAACTGCTCTCTGCATCTGTCTGTCTGTGCCTGGACCTCCCAGCCCTTTGTCTCAGATCTCATCCCTGCATCTCTCCATCCCCACAGCTCACATCCTTCTATCTCTCCAGATCCGATCCTTCCACCTTCCATCTGACTGTATCTGATCCTTCCATTCCTCCATCTCTCCACATCTGATCCTTCCATCTCTCCATCTCTGATCCCTTCACCCTCCATCTCTCTGTGTCTTGTCCCTGCACGCCCATATCCCCATACCAATCCCTCCATCCCATCACACCCTCCACCATCCCAACCCCATGTCCCTGCTGGGTTGTGCCTGACCTTATCCCACCCTGCCCAGCCCAGGGGGGCACTCACGTCTCGATGGCCGTGCAGATGTCCTGGACGCTGCGGCCACCCTTGCGCAGGGTGATGGCCAAGTTCTTGGCCCGGTTGGACTCCATCAGGGTCACCTTGCTGGGGGCCTTCTGCGTGGCCTTGGCCTTGAGGGCACTGATGTCCAGGGCGGGGCCCTGCGCCTTGGTCTTGAACTGCTCCTCAAAGTCACTCATGTCCAGCTCCTGCGGGGACACAGGGCTGTGGACACGGCAGGGAGGTGGCACAGGACATCTGGGGTGACGACAGGGCCAGAGGACCAGGATAAGGGTGAAGAGTGAGGATCAAGATGAAGCAAAGGGATGAGGATGGAACAAGGGGACAAGTACAGGGACAAGCAAGGGGACAGGGAGAGGTGAGGAGGGGGTGGAGGGACCAGAGGATGGAGATGAGGAGGACAAAATGGACAGGTTGTGAAGGTGCAGATGGGGCAAAGGGACAAGGACAGGGCGAGAGGAGCAGCACGCCTGATCCCGTGTCCCTCTCCATGGTGCTAAGGACTTTGCCTGACCTCCAGCTCCTCCTGCAGCCCTGGACACCGCGGGTGGGGGCAGGGGGGGCACCAGCCAACCTCAGCATGGCCCGGGGCACTGAGCCCCGCTGTGCCTGGCCCCTCGTCCCCTGGGCTCACCTGCAGCACCTTCTCATCATTGAGCTCGGTGAAGACGGTGCCGTCGATCTGGCTCGGCTTCAGGGCCACCCAGTTGAAGACGGGCATGCGGAACTTGGTCTGGATCGGCTTCTTCACCTTCACTGAGGGTCACAGGGAGGGGGGCACGTCACGCCCACCCCAGGGTGCCCCCAGACCCCTCCTGGGGAGCATCTCCACCACCCCTGGGCCACACTCACCTGAACTGTTGGCAGTGGGGGGGGCACCCGGCCCGGCTGGGGGCTCCCCACAGAGGGGTGGGGGTGGTGGAGGGGGAGGCACGAGGCCCTCTGGACCCCCCGGGAGCGGTGGGGGGGGTGGTGGCACTGGGGCACCCGGGAGGGGGGGAGCTGGTGGGGGGACAGTGCCTGTGGGCAGAGGGGGTGCAGGCGGTGGGGGANNTGGCAGCAGGTGCTGGTGGGGGAGGTGGGGCTGGAGCCAGAGCCGGAGCATCTGCAAGGGAAAGAAGAGGTGGGTGAGACAGTGACACAGCAGGGCACGGTGCCACCACCATGCTCTCTCTGCCACCGCATTACCCTGAGTCCCCTGGCACATCCCCACACCCCCGCCTCACTTTCTGTGCCCAGAGACTCGCTGCCACCCCTCCCAGGTGCCAGGTGCCCCCGCCGGGAAGGGGACATCCCCTCGCACCCATGGTACCTGTGCAGGTGGCGGTGGTGTCGGTGGTGGCAGCGGCCTCGGGGGTTGCGGGGGTTTCTATGACAACGGGGACAATTTCGATGGCGACGTCTCCGTCGGGCCCACGCAGAATCTGCACCAGCCCCTTCTCCTCGAGCTCCGCCAGCCGCCGCTCCAGCGCCAGCCGGTAGCACTCCTGGGGCTGCGGGGACGGCGGGCTGGGCGGCCGCGGGGGGCTCAGCTGCTCCTGGAGAGGTGACAACCCCCGGCAGGTCACTGGTGTCCCTGTGCACCCCTAAGAGCCGGTCCCTGAGCCCCAGCCTGCCCTCGGCACCGCGGCACCCCCGGCTCACCCGCAGCGCCTCCAGCTCCCGCCGCGCCTGGCTCAGCTGCTTCTCCAGCTCCGCTATCTTGGCCATGGAGTCGTTCTCCGCATCCTGCAGCTTCTCTGTCAACTGTGGGGGACGAGGCGCCGCCGCTCAGCCCCGTCCTCATCCCTCCCTCGGGGCTTGCGTCAGCGGCTCTGCCCACGCGCCCACGGCCCACCTGGCTGACGTGCTCCTGCAGCTCCTCCATGTGCTCCAGCACCGCCGTCTTGGTCTCCGAGTCCTCCAGCATGGCCCCCACGTCGAAGACATTGTCCAGGTAGGCTTGGATCTGCACCTGCAGCTTGTCGCTCTCAGTGAGGCGCAGAGTCTGCGGAGGGACAGCTGGTGTCACCATCGGTGCCAGCGGCACCCCCACCCTCGGGACCCCCCACCCTCGGGATCACCCACCCCTGGGATCACCCACTCCCGGGATCACCCACCTCCAGGTACTGGTCCAGCCCCAGGTGGGTGAACTCGTACTGCAGGAACACGCGGAAGTTCATGTTCTCCACCGAGTGCACCACGATGTTGATGAACTGCATGCAGGCCACCTGCGCAGACACGGCTCAGCACGGGGCCAGGGTGGCTCGTGGGGATGTTGCCCCAGGGGCTGCATGGGGCGTTGGTGGCCCTCGGGGACATGGTGCCCCCGGGGAGTGCATGGGGGTTGACACAGTCCTGGGGAGGTGGTACCCGTGGGACAGCACAGTGGTCTTGGGGACATGATGGCCTGAGGACAGTTTGGTGGCTTAGAAGCCCTTGGGGACATGATGCCATGGGCACAGTGTAGTGGCTTAGAAGCCTTTGGGGACAGCAGAACAGTCCTTGGGACATGGCAATCCTTGGGACATGCCACCCCCAGGACAGCACGGTGGCTCAGCAGCCCCTGAGGACATGGTGGCCTGGGGAGATTTGGTCATTCAGCATCCTTTGGGACATGATGCCATAGGGACAGTGTGGTGCTTAGGAGCTCTTGGGGCATAATGGCCTGGGGACAGTGCAGCAGCCTTGGGGACAGCAGAGCATGGCCCCCAGCAGCCACTCACCATGAAGTCAATGTTGGTGTCCTCATTTCGGAAATATTCCATCAGCTTCTCGAAGCGGTTCTTCTCCCCGCAGACCTGGGGGGGAAGCAGGGGGCTGACGGCCAGCGAGGACATGGCCAGGGGACACCCAGAAGAGTGACAGGACAGGAGGTATCTATTGGTGACACCATTCCAACTCTGACTGGTGCTGCCAGGCACCTGGCCCTGCTGGGACATGGCCCTGGGGACATGTGGTGGCATGGGGACATCAAACCCAGTGAGTGGAACATCCCTAAGCAAACCAGAGGTTTGAGGGTGGTGCAGGGCTCTGCCATACACAGGGTTTGTGCCTTTTTTTTTAAGGCACAAATCCAGCTGAAGCACAGATGTTCATGTGGGGACTGGGTGTCCCTGCTGGGGACTGGGTGTCCCTCCATCTCTCCATCTTGGGGGATGGAGACTCACCTCCTTGAAGTTGTCAAAGGCAGCCAGGATGATGTCGTGGCCACCTCGGACCAGGCAGACAGCAGCCAGCAGCTCCAGCACCAGAGCCTTGGTCCTGCAGAGACACACGGTGTGAGGGGGCTGGGGCCGCGGGGTGGGCAAGGGGACAGGGGGGACAAGGGACAACAGGGGGCAGGGCAGCTCCTACCTGGCGCTCTTGTTGTTGAGGCTCAGGGTGATCTCGTTGACACAGGCTGGGTGGTTCATCACCAGGCTGAAGCCAGACTGGGGAGGGGAAAGGAGCATTCATGGGGTCGTGTGTCCCCCTGGAGGCACTCGAGTACCGAGGGACACGGTCCCCACCAGGCAGGAGGCTGAGTGAGGACACCTCAGAGCCAGGGGATGCAGAGCCGATCCCACCCCGGAGCTGCCCCCGCGGGCGCGGGGGATGCCGGGGAGCCCCAGGCGGATCCCCGCGGATGCCGCCCACTCGCACCTGGTAGTTCATGATGGCGCGGAGGCACATGATGCACACATGGACATCGTCCTTCTGGCTGACGAGCCGCGAGTTGCGCAGCGTCTTCCTGCTGTGCGAGGGGTTCAGCCTGGCCGGGGAGAGCGCGGCTGAGCGGGGCCCGGGGCAGCCGCGGGCACAGCGCAAAGCGGGGACGGGACAGCGCAAGGGGGTGGCAGCGGGGCGCGGGGACACCGGGACACCCGGGCGGCTGCACCCCACGGGAGAGACCCTCGTGTCCGTGCCCATCTAGAAGCCCTGGGAGCGGGGGGTGATGTGGGGTGGGATGGGTTTTGGGCCCCCTCGTGCACACGGGTGGTCTCGGAGGCTCACCGGGGCGGGCAGGAGCTGCCGGGTGACCTGGGGGCACTGTCCCCATCGCTGCCCGGGGCACCGCAGGGGACGCTGGGGTGGACGTGGCGGAGGAGGGTGTGGATGTGCTGGTTCGAGAGGCAGCAGCTGGAGGCGCGTTAGAGCCTGCAGGACAGGAGGGAGAAACGGGGCTCCCGCGCCGCCCCGGGGACACCCGGGCTCGGGGACAAGGGATGGGACCCCCTGCGGGTGCCACGTCCCTCCTGACCTGTCCCTGAGGCTGGGAGGGACACCCCGGCTCCTCCAGAGCTGCTGGCGGGCGGCGAGGGACCCGCGCGGGCCCCGGGGTGCCACGTTACAGCTCGTGGGGTGACCGCGGTGGGTGTCCCTGGGACCCCCCCGCCCATCGGGGGTGCCCCGCAGGCCCTGTCCCCAATGCCGGTGACCAGCAGCGGGGTCCCGTGGGGTGTCCCCGTCCCGCCAGTGCCCCGTCACCTACCGTCAGCGCGTCCCCGGCAGCGTGCAAGAGAAGAGCGGGGTTAGACGGGGCTGCGGGCGAGCGGCACCAAGCGAGAGCCACCAGCCACGGGGACCGGCTTGGGGGACACAGGCCCGTCCCTCCGCCCCGGGTTTAACCCAGGGGGCTGCGATTTGCTCCCCCACAATCTCCAACACCCCCAATTTTTGTGTGTTCCTGGGATTTAGTCAGAGCACCCCAGCACGGCGGCAGTGCCGGGGGGGGGACACGGCTCCAGCCCAGCCCCAGGCGGAGCTTAGCCCCTGGGGACACACAGGGGGATGTGGCTTTGTCCCCACCCTCAAATCAGCAATGGGCGCCCATTTTTAGGGCCGAGCCTGCGTCTCCCTGCCAAGCCCCTCTCCAAGCGCGGTGCGGCCGGGGTGCAGCGAGGCGAGAGCGGGGGACACGGCACAGGGACACGGGGACAGTTGGGGACGGCACCACACGTTACCTTACAGTGAGGGGCCGCGGCTTGGAGGAGCCCTGGGTGGGGGACGAGGAGGTGCTTTTGTTCAGATCCTCCAGCGACCGCTCCTTGCCCTTGTCAGAGCCGGGGCTGTTCTCTGCGCTCTCCATGTCATACCTGGTGGCCCGTGGGGACATGGGGACGGGTGAGACGTGGCACCCCAATATGGGCAGGTGCCCCTCAGGGACGTTGGGGATGTTCTGCTCAGCCCCAGCCATGGAGCACTGCCCTGATGACAAGGGAGGGCACCCCCAGGGACCACCCCAGCCCTGCTGAGCCCCAGGGGAGGCTGATCCCAGCCTTGGGGACAGGGGACCCGGTGGGGACGTACGCGACAGAGCACTGGGCAAAGGCGAGGTACTCCAGCAGCACGTCCAGTCCCTTGTTCTCCTCGTTGAGGAACTCCTGGACCCAGCTGGAGGGTGCAGAGGGTTAGTGGGCTCTGCCAACCCCCACATCCTCTCTCCCCCTGTGCCCACACACTCAGCAGAGCCACTCCTGCTCAGAGGTCCCCAGCAATGGTGGAACATGCTGGGGACATGAGGTGGCACCATGAGCTGGCATTTCTCTGAGGCCAGGTGAGTGCCATGGTGAACCTGATGTATGGGGACACAGCCCAAGGGCTCCCCTGCCACCACTGCCACCACTGCCACGACAGGACAGCCTGGCCCTGGGGACAGTAGGCACCCACCACCCCACAAAGGGTCAGGACAGCCAGTGTGAGGGGCAGGGTCCCTCCTGGCACCCTGGGGGTGCCAGAGAGCCATAATGAGGTTCAGACCCCCCAGGACCCTCAGCTTCCCATCAGAACCCTCCTTAGGGGGCAGGATGAGGCCACAGCCTCCACATCCTGCTGTCACCCCCTAGCCAGAGCCAGCACACGTCCATCCCCATCCCAGCGACGCTGGCAGCAGCTGGGTGACAATGCCACCCCACCCTTACCCGATGTAGTTGGTCCTCAGGGAGATCTCCAGCTCCCGGAGCACCTGTGTGGACTCCTGCACTCGCCTCTTGAACTGTGGGATGGGGACAGCCATTGGCACCATCCCTGTGCCCAGCCTGGCACTGGGCCCAGGGGACCGGGGTGTAACGGGGACCCCTCACCTTCCTGCTGACACCACCCGTGTCCAAGTAGCTCTTCAGCTTCTGGATGTAGGCGGATGGAGGGTTCTTCACCTGGAAACGCTCCTACAAGCCCCAGAGAGAGGCTGAAACTGGGCCACCCGCTTTGGCACGGGGACATGCCACTGTCCCCACAGCAGCCACAGTGTCCCTGTCCCCACCCCAGGCGCATCAATGCTTAATGAGGTTAATGAGGTGCTGTGTCAGTAGTGAGATGGATGTCAGTGCTTGGTACAGCCAGACTGATACCCAAACCGTGCCATGAGTGGCACCTGGGGACAGGGATGGCACTGGGGACACTCTGAGCTTGGACCTCACCTGGTCACAGATCAGCTCCCACTTCTTCTCGTTGTCGTACTGGTTAAGCAGCTTCATCTTGTCCGGGGGCAGGTTCATGGAATTCTGTGGGTGAAGGATGTCAGCGCTGGGGGTCACCCCAAAAACCCCCATGGGATGCAGCACCCCCTGCTCAGTGAGCACTGGGAGATGGGGATACCCGTGGGAGGATGGGGACACTGGTGGGACATGAAGATTCCAGAAGATGGGGATACTAGTGGAACAACAGGGACAGTGATGGAACAATGGGGACAGTGGTGGGAGGATGGGATCACGGTGGAAAAATGAAAGCAGCATTCTCAGGATGGGGACATTGGTGGGATGATGGGGACAACACTGGGAGGTTGGGAACACCACTATTCCCAGGATGTGAGCATCCCATGGACCCATCAGTAATGTCCCCACCTGAGGGTCCCCAAGGGGAGGGGTGAGGGACAGGAGGAAGAACTGAGTCCTGAGTGCCCCATGTGCCCAGCCTCAGCCAGCCCAGTCCCAGCACGGCCACACTGAGTGAGGGACAGGGACATGACTGGTGACAACTGAGGGACCCAGCAGCCTGGGCTGTGCTTGGGGGTCACCCCTGAGTCCCCCCACCACAGGTGTGTGATGAGCCCGCCTGGGGAAACCAGTGTTTATTGAGAGACAGCGATGGCAGGGCCTGGCTCATCCCCACGTCCCTCCTTGCCACCCTTGCACAGCCCCAGCCCCCACGGCCACCACAGGACGTGACGTGGTTTCCACTCGGCACCGGGCGCTGCCGAAACCGCCCCCGCCACAGGCAGGACACAGCTCCTGCCCCTGGGCTGCTCTGCTGAGGGACACCATGGGGAACCTTCATGGGACACCCACCATGGCCTGGGCCAGGCTGCAGCCCAGCTGGGCTCACAGGTGATTTATTTCACTAAAAGACAGTTTTTGGTGCTCCAGCTCAGCTGGAGAGCACCTGCAGGCTGGCACGATGGCATGTGGAGCAATGCACCAGGCCACCCCTAAATCCCAGTCTTGGGGTTCCCTGAGGAGGAGCATGGGGATGTGGGGTGCATGCCATGCTGGAATAACCACATCCTTGGAGGAAGGCATCTCCCAGGGCTTTGGTTACCCACAGAAGAGCAGGTCCAAGGGGAGAGGTCCCACTGTGGTGGGCAGGAACAGAAACCTCTCTACCTCCTCCAGGGAGGACCTGTCAAGCTGCTCTCACAAGAAGCCAAAATGAGGAGCTGTGGGTGGGGAGGAGCTGGGTTGGGCTGGGGCTGGCTGGCACGAAGAGCTGGGCAGGGGGACAATCGGGCTGCAGGGTCAGAAATGGCCTCACTGTGAAGCCACTGGAGCTGCTGGGTTCTGGAACAGGCAAGGTGACAGCAGCACCTGGCTGTCACCACTGTTGGTCCCAAGCTGCCATCCTTGGGATGGCTGAGGGTCAGACCGAGGGACAGAGCTGTGCCAAGAGGGACCACACACCCAGACACCTCAGCCAGGGCTCAGCCACACCCGTGGCACCTCTGTGGGACACACGTCCCACTCTGTGGGACAAGGGCACTCTGCTGGGTGCCCTTGGCACAGAGGGGATGGTGGCACCTGCCACACGGACCAGCTTTAAACCATCACATGTGGGACCTGGACCAAGCAGGACCTTGGGTGGGACAGGACCAGGCATGAGGGTGGGGCAGGACCAGGCACGAGGGTGGGGCAGGGCTGTCCCCGTGGAGGTGGCTGTGCCCCGAGCCCCGCGGCCCCTCCCTTGCGGGCAGGATGTGGCACAGGTCGGTACAAACTGGGTGGTGGCTGCCACCCGGGTGGGCTTGTGGTGCCGGGGAGGAAGCGACTCCGCCGAGAAGCCTCAGCCAACAGCACAAAGAAACCGGTTCTCATTTCCTGCCGGGGAGGGGGGACCGCGGCTGCGGGAGGTGTGGCACAGAGTGGGTGATGTGGGGCAGTGGGTGATGTGGGGCAGGGTGGGTGATGTGGGGCAGTGGGTGATGTGGGGCTAGGTGGGTGATGTGGGGCAAGGTGGGTGATGTGGGTCAGGGTGGGTGATGTGGGGCTGGGTGGGTGATGTGGGGCAGTGGGTGATGTGGGGCTGGGTGGGTGATGTGGGGCAGGGCAGCAGCCAAGCACCCCATAGGCGTCAGAGGAAGGACTTGGTCCTCCTCCTCTTCCTCCTTTGGGGACAAGGATGAGGAGCCACAGTGACTTGCCCCCAGCAGCCACATCCACCTGCCGTCATCCAGCACCCTCATCCCGCCCCTGCCCGGGGTTTCCCAGCAGCCTCACAGCCCACCACGTCACTGAGTGGGTGCCACCAAATGACCCCCAACAGCGCTGCTGTGACACAAAGTGCCACAGAGCCTGCAGGGCCATCCCAGCCATGCCCAGCACCAGGATGAGCCTGGCTGGGACCCAGCACCAGCCGTGGGTTGAGCCAGGCTTTGCCCTCCACTGAAAACAAGGCCAGGGGAGGTGAAGCGGCACCAACATAATTTTCTGGTACAAAACAACCTTTTGCTGTCGTGGCTGGCAGGGACGGAGCTATTTTGGGTGTCAGACACCTCTTTTTGTTCCACATGTGAGCGGGCAGCGCCGGGCTGAGCCGAGCTCTGCACCAAGGCTGGCACAGAATGTTCTGGCAGCCCCTGGGGAAGGGTTTGTGCTGCACAGCCCGGCGGGCTGAGCGTGAGCCGCGCTGAGCCCTGGCAGTGCTGTCACCGGGGCACGAGGATGTGTGCACAGAGAGGGCAGGGAAAGCCTTGGCAGCGGGATGGGACAACATCTCAGCCAGCTCCAGGCACAAAATCCTGCCACAAGGAGGGGGACAGGGCAGGGAACTGCCCCAGATGGCAGCTCAGGGGCTGTCCCCAGCTGCAGGAAGGGCCAGCACCTCCAGGTGCCCGGGTGCCCAAGGGACCGTGCCACTCCTGGGATGCTCCATCCCTCCGGGCCACAGAGCGCCCCTGAGCTGGTTTGGACATGCCCAGTCCTGAAGTGCCAGCTGTCCCACGGTGCCCCCTCCAGTGCCCCTGACTGCCACTGGACTTGTTCTCCTGCCTCTTTCCCAGGGCTCAGTGCAAGGCACGGAGCAGGACCAGGCCCACCCAGGGCTCCCTGACCTCCTGGATGCAGCAAACTGCGCTGAGGACACTGCCAGGACCAGTTCATCCCATCAGGGACTCCCTGGATCCAGCCAGACCCAAACCCACCCAGTGTAGGCAGGGACAGCCGGAGCAGGAGGAGACAGACTGTCCCCAGGATGGCCGGGGGGGGTGGGCAGGGCTGGGCCGGGCTGGGCTGGGCTGGGCCGGGCCGGGCTGGGCCGGGCGGCCGCTGCTGCCTGCAGCTCCAGCTCTATTTTAAGAACAAGCAGGAGCTGCTGTAGCTCGAAACGGGGAGAGGAGCCTGATCCCACCAGTGTGCCCTCATCCCTGCTGGGGACCTGCCTGCCCACCCTGCACTGGGATGTCCCCCTGGTTCAGCCGGGGCTGGATCCAGCAGCACAGGAGGGCTCCTGCACCAGGACACTCTCCAGGCCCTGATCCAGCAGCTGGTGGCTCACAGGCAATGTCCCACCCAGGACACAGGTTCCCCTTGGGGACACCCTGGTGCAGCCCCACATCCCCCAGGCAGCCTTGGCCACCGTGCTGGAGATGGATCCAGCAGGAAGCTGAGGACCAGCTTTGTTTCCTGGTTGAGCAAGGCTGACACTGTGGCCAGGACTCGCTGGTGACCCGTCCTGCTGCTGGGGCCAACAGCACATCTGCAAACATCTGCAAACATCTGCAATGGTGATGTTGGCCTTGCACTCCCCCAGCTCCTGAGGGAAGAGGCAGCAAAGCCCCACCAGGCAAAGCTCCTGGCTGGAGCAGCCCCTGTCCCCGCCAGCCACTGCTTGATTTTGACTCCACCACACCTCAACTCACTATTCCATTTATATATTTCCAATTAATGCCCCTTGACATGCAAAGGGAGGGAAATCCTGCTTGCTTCTAGCAGGAGTATCTGGGCATCCGTATCCCAGCAGCAAAGATGCTTTTCCTCTGCTCCATCCCAAAAATCCACCTGGTCATATCCCAAACTACTTGGCACGGGACAACCCTCCCATTGCTCTGCCAAAGCAGCATCTGCCACAGTGCCCCAGCTGGGAAGAAGCCAATTTTTGAGAATGAAGTTTTGGGAAAACTAAATTCCCATTTCTTGGCACAGAGTGGGTGTATCCCCTTCCTGGCAGCAATTTGGATCCCCTATGCTCCTCCCTGGGCTTTTCTGCCAAGGCTTTGCACCACCAGCTCTCCCAGCTTGGGATGTCCAGCCCAAAACTGATTTGCACTGAGCTCTCATGGCATCACTGCAACCATGGCAACGTGTGAGATCTGGATCGTGGCCCACCAGGAGATTCCCAGCTCATCACCACCTGCTCCATCACTGAGCTAAGGAGGTAGAAAAGTTGAAGGCAGAGTCAGGGAATGTGTTAGTGCTGGGTGAGGGCAGAGGGACCCCCTGTCCCCATCCCCCCGGGGTTCTGCTGCCCCCACAGCCACGAGAATGGGGAAGGGACTGTGAAAGGAGGAAGCAGAATTGGGACAGCCGCTTTCACAAGACACCCGCTTCCCGTCGGGCCGTGTCCAGCCCCTGGGTGCCCCTTCTCCTGGAAAAGGCCTTTCCCTCTGGATGAGGGCAGAGAAGGTGGTGCTGAGGGCCTGGAGCAGCGCTTTCCCCTTCTCTGATCATTTTTTGGTTTAGGATTTCCAACCTGCTGGGCCCAGCCCGCTGAAAGTGCTGCTTCCTGGGGCCTCACAGCGGAAACACCCCGAGTCTCTTCCTGCCGCCGCTGCTGTGACAGCCGGAGCCATCAGAGGCACCGCCACCCCACCCAGCCACCTGCCAGCCCGGGTGTCCCCCGGCAAACCCTCCCCGGGGGTCCCGCGGGGGTCCCGCGGCATCTCCCCCTGCAGCCGCGGGGATCGCTCCCGCTGCGACGCTCATCTCAAATAATCCCGTAAACTCCACGAGATCAAAAAGCTCCCAAGGAATTTGTGCTCGGGGCTGGGATGGGGCACCCCTCCGAGCCGATCCCGGCAGGTCCAACCGAGCGCATCCCGGTGTGCCGGCATTGTGGAAGCTGC